AATATCTCATTTTACTCTACTTCTTATATTCCTATTCCACAAGACTTGAAACAGGTGATAATTGTGTGTGTGTGTGTGTGTGTGTGTGTGTGTGTGTGTGTGTGTGTGTGTGTGTGTGTGTGTGTGTGTGTGTGTAAATAAACATTGGATGCATTGCAACTATAAGAGTTGTGAAAAAAAATCATCAAAGTCAGTCACAAACTTTTAAGAATAGAGTTAATAAGAGTTGATAAAACATTCTTGAAGATTTGCAATATATGATCATTTGCTTGTTAAGAAATGTGTTATAATGTGATAAATGCCTTGTTAATGACTGCATTCAGCAATGATTTGTTTATGTTTACAGGTCTATTTGATGGAAAACCTGCAGATTATTTATTCCTGTTAGTTTTCAACTGGCTGTGCTTGGTGGTATCCTTTCAATATAAAAGTCAACTGTTTTGACTTCTTTTTTAAACAAGTTTTACCCCCCCCCCCCTCCACACAGACACCCCCCCCCCCCACACACACACACACTTGAACTGTGAATATTGTTATTTTTTCACTATCAGCATTCTGTGATTTTTCACACTGTTTCACTCAGTTTTAGATTATTTTGTTTAGAATCTTAAATGTTATACATTCCTTGACTTTGCTCCTCAGCTGATTGGTTTTATAATTGGATTACCAGTAAGTATTTACAATGGATTTATTTATTATTATTTTAATAGGTAACAGTAGTAATAGTTATTGTAGTAGTTATTGTAAAATATTCATTTTCAAAAGTCAATTGTTCATTTCAGTAAAGAATTACTATCATAATGTCAAATGTCCAAATACTAAATAACAAAAAATACTTCAATTCTTTCTCGTTTTAAATTGTTATGAAAAAATATTTTTCCAGTTACTAATGGACCCTATGGTGATGAGTGTGCTGTATATCTTTTATATGTTATTTCCAGTTACTAATGGACCCTATGGTGATGAGTGTGCTGTATATCTGTTATATGTTATTTCCAGTTACTAATGGACCCTATGGTGATGAGTGTGCTGTATATCTGTTATATGTTATTTCCAGTTACTAATGGACCCTATGGTGATGAGTGTGCTGTATATCTGTTATATGTTATTTCCAGTTACTAATGGACCCTATGGTGATGAGTGTGCTGTATATCTGGTGTCAACTGAACAGAGATCAGATTGTATCCTTCTGGTTTGGGACACAATTCAAGGTATGATGGGTGCTGTTTTTCTAGCTCTTTCATGTCTTGTCTTCCAGACATATCAGCTAAAAATATCACTCAGATCTTATGTTACTAAGCTGAGACCAGCTTGAAAAAATTACCGCAAATACACGTTTACCATTAGCAAGGAAATATTTCCGTACAAAACACCACTTTTTTATAGAAAACATAAAAAAAGTTTGTTTTTAGTTTGTTTTACTTTCATCTGAATAAAGTTAATTGATATGTATTTTTCGTTTTAGGCTATGTACTTGCCATGGGTGCTACTGGCATTTAACATGATAATCCGTGGAGGGTAAGTGGTGCCGAGTTATCTGAAGATGTCTTATTTCTCAGCTTGATGGTGACTTTGGTTCAAATCAAATGACTTTTTATTTCCTTAACCTAAGCGCATTCAGAACAGCAACTCACTAAAAAGTTTGTTGCTTAATTCCAGATTAGACACTGAATAAATGCCCCATGGGGATTATGCAACAAGCATTCAAGTGGTTGGCCATATTTGATCTGCGGATCTGTTAGTTCTCTGTTCTGAATGCGCTCTTTAACAATTAAATGCTGCGATGCATTCAGCGATACGTGTCTTCTCCACTGACTGAGTCTCCAGAAGTTTTGATATATGTGTTTTTATTTAGAAAAAAAACTTAGATTTTATAACCATCCTATTGCAATGTTTTTGTTGTTGAGAGTGATTATTTTAAAGTTCATAATTTAGTTCTCTCCTCTTTCTTTCCAGAGGTGTTCAGGACATCATAGGCATCATAGTGGGTCACCTGTACTTCTTCCTAATGTTCAAATATCCACAAGACTTTGGTGGCAGAAGATTTTTAAGTACACCAGAAATATTGTAGGTGTTACACTTGAAAGCATTTGCCATACTGTCAGCCTAGTTCAGTAATTCTGTACAAATTCACTATCTGTTGCTTTGATCTCCAGTCATAAGTTATTATTATCTTATATTTTGTATTTTTATTTATTTATTTATTTTTGTAGAAGCATGCATCGTCATACAGATACGTTTTTTGTGCACTGTCTTAAGTGGTCCTTCTTAAAACCCTTTATAAATCTTCATTAACAACATGTTTATATTTCAGCTATAAATGGTTTCCTAACCGCAGAGGGGGTGTGGCAGGATTTGGAATGGCCCCAGAAAGTAGACGGAGAGATGATGGCGGAGCTGGCGGCGGTCGTCCCTGGGGGAGAGGTCAGCAATTAGGGGGAAACTGAGACCGGGCATGAATTTTGACACTTTTCTTCACGATTTATTGAAGAGACAAACTGAAGAATTATCTCTTTTACTATTGTGAAGTGAAGTTTGCTGACAAAAAACAAAGACCAAAGATTAGAAAATTAAGAAACAGGCAACAACATCAGCAGAAACATTAAATCTCAGATATAAAGTATGTTTGGAAGCAGAGTTCTTTCTGAACATTTTGTTTCAATATCTTTCCAAAAGGCAGCAGAACTGTGCATTTGTGCTGCATATGCTATTTTACCCATAATGGATAGTATTAGTAATATGCTGCAATTACAGCAGCTGCTTTCAATTTCATTGGATGACCACAACCTGCTTGGATAAATGTCTGAACATAAACCAAAATCACCATTTCAGTGTGTGATAAAATAGAACATGTGGTAACATCTGCAGGAAAAAAAAACGACCTGCTCTCATTACTATCATGCCTCACCCCAAGAACGAAGTACAGTATCACATAAAATAATAAAAGTAAAATTTCAGTTACATTTTTTTAATAATGAAGTATTGGAAAGACTGCAAGTAAATTTTAAGATATACAAGTGAGCAGTTGACCACCGACATAAATTATATATATGCACTGAAGTGTTTTGTGTCAGTGCTGCAGGAGTTTCTAAGGGGAATAAAATTATAATTTCCATTAGTTTTGTGGAATATGACTTGCCACACATTGCTAACACTGAATGATAAATTTTGTGTATCATTGGTGTTATTCTGGAATTGTCAACATTTTGTAATAAACATGTCTTTGCATGTTATTTTTATAAATGATTGAAACAGAAATAGTTGATGTTGATTAATTTTTTTAACACTTGACTAAATAAATTCAAATTCTGCCCTGCGTATTTTCTATGTTTACATGGCATTGACAGGTCTTTGCATGACTACAGTGTACTGAGATGTTTTGGAAGTATTTCCAAGTTTTCTAGTTATTTTCACCTGCACGTTGGAAGTGTGATAATATAACACTGGAGAAAGATGACAAAACTACATTAATTTTTCTGGAAATGGTTTATTCTTTGTGATCAGATGCCATGCATTTCTTTGTTTTCTTCACTCTAAGCACAGCATTCCACCACCCCTCACCTTACAAAGTTTTAGTCTTCCAAAACTGAAATGATGCTAAACTTGCCACTGCATTCATTTATCAAATGTCCTTGCAGAAAATGTGAAAATTAAGTTATTGCCTCTGTGCACATACAACTTTCAAACTTGCCGAACTCTTCAGATGAGGGCTGTCCATTCTTGCAGCTAAGCTTTACAAACTTATCGCTATGCAACTTGTGGCAAAAAAAGTTTGTGTCTAGGTCAAAGCCTAAGATAACACATGAAGTAGGCCCATGTCTTACACTTTGTCACTTAAATTGAAAACCTCGTTAAAGATCACTTCGGACCCCAAACCCTGGGCCTGTTGGTGTGCCTTTTAATGACGTTAGGCCTCCTTTTGGTTCACAGGCAAACCTATGGTTTTGTCCACTCCTGAAATATTGAAAACAATTCACTGTGATCATTATAATTCTGTGATCATTATAATTTTAACTAGAGGATCAGAGAGGCGATACCGCCTCCGAATATTGTACCACCAGCTGGAGCAAGCACATTTGTATAGACCCCCACATACACAAAATAAGGGACAGCCACCAGTCTTATGCTTGACAAGCTATAAAAATGCAATCAACAAGAATTTTCAAAATACGCAAAAAATATATATAACTTAAAATGGTACAATCAAAGTTAAGTTCATCGTAAGGTAGGTCAAAGGTCAATTTCAAGGTCACAGTAAATTGCCAGTATATGACTTCCTATTCAACTTCAATAGTAACTACGGACCTATCTCTGCCAGGTTTGGAGTTAAAAGAGAAAGAAATTAGCAGAGTTCAGTTCATGATTATAAGTAGGTCAAAGGTCAATTTCAAGGTCACACTTAGATTGCCAGTATATGACTTCCTATTCATGTTCAATAGTAACTATGGACCTATCTCGCTAGTTTTGGAAATAAAAGGGAACCAAAATTTGCAAAGTTCAATTCATGATAAAAAGTAGGTCAAAGGTCAATTTCAAGGTCACANCCTCTAATATGACATCACTTCCTACTCCACCCAACATACAGGGATATTGTCTTACCTAGTTTAGTCTTAATAGCCTCTAATATGACATCACTTCCTACTCCACCCAACATACAGGGATATTGTCTTACCTAGTTTAGTCTTAATAGCCTCTAATATGACATCACTTCCTACTCCACCCAACATACAGGGATATTGTCTTACCTAGTTTAGTCTTAATAGCCTCTAATATGACATCACTTCCTACTCCACCCAACATACAGGGATATTGTCTTACCTAGTTTAGTCTTAATAGCCTCTAATATGACATCACTTCCTACTCCACCCAACATACAGGGATATTGTCTTACCTAGTTTAGTCTTAATAGCCTCTAATATGACATCACTTCCTACTCCACCCAACATACAGGGATATTGTCTTACCTAGTTTAGTCTTAATAGCCTCTAATATGACATCACTTCCTACTCCACCCAACATACAGGGATATTGTCTTACCTAGTTTAGTCTTAATAGCCTCTAATATGACATCACTTCCTACTCCACCCAACATACAGGGATATTGTCTTACCTAGTTTAGTCTTAATAGCCTCTAATATGACATCACTTCCTACTCCACCCAACATACAGGGATATTGTCTTACCTAGTTTAGTCTTAATAGCCTCTAATATGACATCACTTCCTACTCCACCCAACATACAGGGATATTGTCTTACCTAGTTTAGTCTTAATAGCCTCTAATATGACATCACTTCCTACTCCACCCAACATACAGGGATATTGTCTTACCTAGTTTAGTCTTAATAGCCTCTAATATGACATCACTTCCTACTCCACCCAACATACAGGGATATTGTCTTACCTAGTTTAGTCTTAATAGCCTCTAATATGACATCACTTCCTACTCCACCCAACATACAGGGATATTGTCTTACCTAGTTTAGTCTTAATAGCCTCTAATATGACATCACTTCCTACTCCACCCAACATACAGGGATATTGTCTTACCTAGTTTAGTCTTAATAGCCTCTAATATGACATCACTTCCTACTCCACCCAACATACAGGGATATTGTCTTACCTAGTTTAGTCTTAATAGCCTCTAATATGACATCACTTCCTACTCCACCCAACATACAGGGATATTGTCTTACCTAGTTTAGTCTTAATAGCCTCTAATATGACATCACTTCCTACTCCACCCAACATACAGGGATATTGTCTTACCTAGTTTAGTCTTAATAGCCTCTAATATGACATCACTTCCTACTCCACCCAACATACAGGGATATTGTCTTACCTAGTTTAGTCTTAATAGCCTCTAATATGACATCACTTCCTACTCCACCCAACATACAGGGATATTGTCTTACCTAGTTTAGTCTTAATAGCCTCTAATATGACATCACTTCCTACTCCACCCAACATACAGGGATATTGTCTTACCTAGTTTAGTCTTAATAGCCTCTAATATGACATCACTTCCTACTCCACCCAACATACAGGGATATTGTCTTACCTAGTTTAGTCTTAATAGCCTCTAATATGACATCACTTCCTACTCCACCCAACATACAGGGATATTGTCTTACCTAGTTTAGTCTTAATAGCCTCTAATATGACATCACTTCCTACTCCACCCAACATACAGGGATATTGTCTTACCTAGTTTAGTCTTAATAGCCTCTAATATGACATCACTTCCTACTCCACCCAACATACAGGGATATTGTCTTACCTAGTTTAGTCTTAATAGCCTCTAATATGACATCACTTCCTACTCCACCCAACATACAGGGATATTGTCTTACCTAGTTTAGTCTTAATAGCCTCTAATATGACATCACTTCCTACTCCACCCAACATACAGGGATATTGTCTTACCTAGTTTAGTCTTAATAGCCTCTAATATGACATCACTTCCTACTCCACCCAACATACAGGGATATTGTCTTACCTAGTTTAGTCTTAATAGCCTCTAATATGACATCACTTCCTACTCCACCCAACATACAGGGATATTGTCTTACCTAGTTTAGTCTTAATAGCCTCTAATATGACATCACTTCCTACTCCACCCAACATACAGGGATATTGTCTTACCTAGTTTAGTCTTAATAGCCTCTAATATGACATCACTTCCTACTCCACCCAACATACAGGGATATTGTCTTACCTAGTTTAGTCTTAATAGCCTCTAATATGACATCACTTCCTACTCCACCCAACATACAGGGATATTGTCTTACCTAGTTTAGTCTTAATAGCCTCTAATATGACATCACTTCCTACTCCACCCAACATACAGGGATATTGTCTTACCTAGTTTAGTCTTAATAGCCTCTAATATGACATCACTTCCTACTCCACCCAACATACAGGGATATTGTCTTACCTAGTTTAGTCTTAATAGCCTCTAATATGACATCACTTCCTACTCCACCCAACATACAGGGATATTGTCTTACCTAGTTTAGTCTTAATAGCCTCTAATATGACATCACTTCCTACTCCACCCAACATACAGGGATATTGTCTTACCTAGTTTAGTCTTAATAGCCTCTAATATGACATCACTTCCTACTCCACCCAACATACAGGGATATTGTCTTACCTAGTTTAGTCTTAATAGCCTCTAATATGACATCACTTCCTACTCCACCCAACATACAGGGATATTGTCTTACCTAGTTTAGTCTTAATAGCCTCTAATATGACATCACTTCCTACTCCACCCAACATACAGGGATATTGTCTTACCTAGTTTAGTCTTAATAGCCTCTAATATGACATCACTTCCTACTCCACCCAACATACAGGGATATTGTCTTACCTAGTTTAGTCTTAATAGCCTCTAATATGACATCACTTCCTACTCCACCCAACATACAGGGATATTGTCTTACCTAGTTTAGTCTTAATAGCCTCTAATATGACATCACTTCCTACTCCACCCAACATACAGGGATATTGTCTTACCTAGTTTAGTCTTAATAGCCTCTAATATGACATCACTTCCTACTCCACCCAACATACAGGGATATTGTCTTACCTAGTTTAGTCTTAATAGCCTCTAATATGACATCACTTCCTACTCCACCCAACATACAGGGATATTGTCTTACCTAGTTTAGTCTTAATAGCCTCTAATATGACATCACTTCCTACTCCACCCAACATACAGGGATATTGTCTTACCTAGTTTAGTCTTAATAGCCTCTAATATGACATCACTTCCTACTCCACCCAACATACAGGGATATTGTCTTACCTAGTTTAGTCTTAATAGCCTCTAATATGACATCACTTCCTACTCCACCCAACATACAGGGATATTGTCTTACCTAGTTTAGTCTTAATAGCCTCTAATATGACATCACTTCCTACTCCACCCAACATACAGGGATATTGTCTTACCTAGTTTAGTCTTAATAGCCTCTAATATGACATCACTTCCTACTCCACCCAACATACAGGGATATTGTCTTACCTAGTTTAGTCTTAATAGCCTCTAATATGACATCACTTCCTACTCCACCCAACATACAGGGATATTGTCTTACCTAGTTTAGTCTTAATAGCCTCTAATATGACATCACTTCCTACTCCACCCAACATACAGGGATATTGTCTTACCTAGTTTAGTCTTAATAGCCTCTAATATGACATCACTTCCTACTCCACCCAACATACAGGGATATTGTCTTACCTAGTTTAGTCTTAATAGCCTCTAATATGACATCACTTCCTACTCCACCCAACATACAGGGATATTGTCTTACCTAGTTTAGTCTTAATAGCCTCTAATATGACATCACTTCCTACTCCACCCAACATACAGGGATATTGTCTTACCTAGTTTAGTCTTAATAGCCTCTAATATGACATCACTTCCTACTCCACCCAACATACAGGGATATTGTCTTACCTAGTTTAGTCTTAATAGCCTCTAATATGACATCACTTCCTACTCCACCCAACATACAGGGATATTGTCTTACCTAGTTTAGTCTTAATAGCCTCTAATATGACATCACTTCCTACTCCACCCAACATACAGGGATATTGTCTTACCTAGTTTAGTCTTAATAGCCTCTAATATGACATCACTTCCTACTCCACCCAACATACAGGGATATTGTCTTACCTAGTTTAGTCTTAATAGCCTCTAATATGACATCACTTCCTACTCCACCCAACATACAGGGATATTGTCTTACCTAGTTTAGTCTTAATAGCCTCTAATATGACATCACTTCCTACTCCACCCAACATACAGGGATATTGTCTTACCTAGTTTAGTCTTAATAGCCTCTAATATGACATCACTTCCTACTCCACCCAACATACAGGGATATTGTCTTACCTAGTTTAGTCTTAATAGCCTCTAATATGACATCACTTCCTACTCCACCCAACATACAGGGATATTGTCTTACCTAGTTTAGTCTTAATAGCCTCTAATATGACATCACTTCCTACTCCACCCAACATACAGGGATATTGTCTTACCTAGTTTAGTCTTAATAGCCTCTAATATGACATCACTTCCTACTCCACCCAACATACAGGGATATTGTCTTACCTAGTTTAGTCTTAATAGCCTCTAATATGACATCACTTCCTACTCCACCCAACATACAGGGATATTGTCTTACCTAGTTTAGTCTTAATAGCCTCTAATATGACATCACTTCCTACTCCACCCAACATACAGGGATATTGTCTTACCTAGTTTAGTCTTAATAGCCTCTAATATGACATCACTTCCTACTCCACCCAACATACAGGGATATTGTCTTACCTAGTTTAGTCTTAATAGCCTCTAATATGACATCACTTCCTACTCCACCCAACATACAGGGATATTGTCTTACCTAGTTTAGTCTTAATAGCCTCTAATATGACATCACTTCCTACTCCACCCAACATACAGGGATATTGTCTTACCTAGTTTAGTCTTAATAGCCTCTAATATGACATCACTTCCTACTCCACCCAACATACAGGGATATTGTCTTACCTAGTTTAGTCTTAATAGCCTCTAATATGACATCACTTCCTACTCCACCCAACATACAGGGATATTGTCTTACCTAGTTTAGTCTTAATAGCCTCTAATATGACATCACTTCCTACTCCACCCAACATACAGGGATATTGTCTTACCTAGTTTAGTCTTAATAGCCTCTAATATGACATCACTTCCTACTCCACCCAACATACAGGGATATTGTCTTACCTAGTTTAGTCTTAATAGCCTCTAATATGACATCACTTCCTACTCCACCCAACATACAGGGATATTGTCTTACCTAGTTTAGTCTTAATAGCCTCTAATATGACATCACTTCCTACTCCACCCAACATACAGGGATATTGTCTTACCTAGTTTAGTCTTAATAGCCTCTAATATGACATCACTTCCTACTCCACCCAACATACAGGGATATTGTCTTACCTAGTTTAGTCTTAATAGCCTCTAATATGACATCACTTCCTACTCCACCCAACATACAGGGATATTGTCTTACCTAGTTTAGTCTTAATAGCCTCTAATATGACATCACTTCCTACTCCACCCAACATACAGGGATATTGTCTTACCTAGTTTAGTCTTAATAGCCTCTAATATGACATCACTTCCTACTCCACCCAACATACAGGGATATTGTCTTACCTAGTTTAGTCTTAATAGCCTCTAATATGACATCACTTCCTACTCCACCCAACATACAGGGGGTTGTAGTACAGATCTGTATGAAATGCTTTCCAACAGGTTCCCTGAAATATAAAACACAATTTTTTAGTCATTACATTTGCTTGGTAATAAAATACAACCCTTAATTTGAAAGAAGTATCACAAAATAGCATTGAATTTCATCATATAATTTTGTTTTTAAAATTCTCTGTATGAAAAGTGAATGCATAATTTGGAATTTTACCATGAAATCAAGGTAATAGAATCTCTACCTTGTCCAAATAATAAGCAGTCACTTAACTTATAAGGTTACATCTTTGTTTTGTGGAGTCTAAGTACTAACATCCTGACAACATTTTCAGAAATATCACTGACTAATAAGTGTATGCAATCAATGTCACTGTACCTGTTGAACATTGTGTAAAAGGTGGCTACTTCATAAACCCTCATCCTGGGCATGCTGAGCATGTCTGCCACATAGTGCATCACGGAGATTGGACACCAGCCTGGAGAGAATAAAACATTAATATTAGGACATCAGCCTGGAGAGAATGAACTTTCAAATTAAAATCTATATTCAAAATATGACATGTCATACCTGTTTCCCTTTCAACATACAAATACAAATATTTAAGACTTCTCTCCTACCCTGCACTTGTAATTTTAAGTAGAAATACTTACTAGTATAGGCATGCTTAAAAGAATGCCAAAAGCCTCAAAGATACAATATAGCACCTATAAAGGAAACACGATAATCTCATGACCTCCCCCCCCCCGCCCCAACTCTAAAAACATCCTGTCTTCTTACCATGTTGCCTCTGAGCCAGATCTAACAGTGGGATACAGGCAGCTGCTTGGTGTCCTTCTGGGAAGTCTTTGATAATACTCTGGGCTATCTACAAAATATTCATTTGAGGTTATTATCAATAAACATTTCTTTCACATTCTTTGACATTCTTTTGAGATATACATCTTAACAAGCAATATGCATATATTACAAAAGAATACAATATTTCTGTAGAGCATTGTCAGCAATATTAAATATCAGTTGCAGTGTAAAAGAATATAAAAGTTACAATAGGAGCTTCAGTTTTTCCTTATTATGGAACAGAGTATGAATTACCAACTACCTTCATATTCTCTGGGGTGAACTCAAATGGAACATCTGGGTTGTTTTCTGGGGTATCTCGATGCTACGAAAAAATTTGCAAAAAATTTAATTCATAGAACAAATCTTCAAATCCAACAAGGCAGCAAAGCTGTCAAATGTACAGACAAAAAGCAGGAAATAACAAAATAGGCTACTGTCAATTCTGATGCAAAAGTACATTATGTTTAACTGCAAATTCAACATGAAATTCTAATTATGCTCAACAGGTAATACCAATGTAAGTAAAATGTGTAACAAACATAAGGCTTCAGGCCCATGGCAGTTCAAGTTCACCCTTTCAAAATGTTAAACTTCCAGAAAAAGTAGTCAATTACACTGCTTTTCCAACTCAGGCTGCATTTTAGTCCTGTATTTCTTTTTTGAAAGTTTGGCAATCATAAGTAACATGGTTTTCCCATAATGGTCATCATGGCAGCAGCACCCAAAATTGTGTTTTCTTCAATTCTGATGCAATATTACATAATGGTTACCAGCATAATGATAATCAATTTTTAATAATAAAATATACGTATCATTGATTTTCAGAAAATGTGACAAGCATGGGTCTTCAAGCCTGTGGAACTTCAAAGTCACACCTTGAAAATGCCTATATGTGAAAAATTAAAATTTCACACAAAAACTGTTTAACTGGCAGATTGCATTGCCTACTGAAGCTATATTTTAGTCCCATGTTTCTTTCCTGTACGTTTGAGAACAGTAAGTGACATGGTTTTTCTTAATTTTTTTTTTGTTTTTTTTCAAATTTTGATGCAATATTACATAATGTTTAACAGCATAATGACCATCAATTTTTAATAATAAAATATTAGTTTCATGGATATTCAGAAAATGTGACTAGCAAAGGTCTTCAGGCCCATGGAACTTCAAAGTCACAACTTGAAAATGCCAAAATGTAAACAAGACAGCACTGTTCTGAAATGTTTTTTTCCCATTTTTAATAATTTTTAACATAAAACAAAATTAACAGTTTACTGCCGTTTTTATATGATCAACTAAGAAAATTGATGAGATGGGGAAAAATATCAATAGAGCAGTAATCTGTGTCTGTACATAAAAAGTCATTTTACTCACAACTATCCAAAATCAGACATATTTCCTATGACTAGGAGTTATGCAAATATACATGAGATAAAAATAAGAGAATTCTATATACTTACCACAAAAAGTTTGTCACTAAGCACTGGTGCAGTTTTGTGAATGGATCTCACCTGACGCACCTGAAATTTAACAAACAAATACTTATCAGAATATCATTTTTTAACATTTCAAAGTTATATGTGGGCAGTTTTCTACCGGTTACGGTAGGACTGGCAGAACTTCATCCGTGTCGAAGTGGATAGTCGTCAGCTACACACCGCGGTAAACATCCTCTTAAGCACGACAATACATAAAGCAATGCAAGGATAAATTTTCTGGGAGAATAAAAATACTCACCACCGCAGAAGACAAAGATCGCACAGCAGATGCTAACATTGTCGGGTATTTGTTGTTAAACTTACAAAACGTCTACCTTTACATAACATCCGGGCACTAGAAGCGTCGGCTTTCAGATAGTACCGCAGTTACTAATATTTTTGTGAAATTATTATGTGAAATATTAAATCTGGTTATGTTCAAAACACTTAAAATTATATTAATTTATTATTCTGTAATTTGGATATGATTTTACAGCAGCCTTTGTAAAATTCTTTAGATTAGTTGCTACGGTGAGAATATGTAAACAACATGGCGGCCTAGAAGCAGGTGCTTGAAAAACACAAGGAACTTTTCACATATTTTGGACTAAAATACCCAAAATGTAAAAAATGACAATGATCCCACTCAAAGGATCAAGCAAGATCATTGTAGTTTACTACTGGTAAGCTTCTCAGTTTTTAGCATTTTGATAATACTTAACAATGCTGGTTCATTGATTTGACCTTCTCAAGACTCAACTGCGGTAACTTGTTACTGAACATCCTCGTACACAGTATTTACATTCTGTCATTGACATTGATGGCTTCATAAGTCCTGTGCATATGTCATTAAAGAGTGGATTTTCAGTCTTTTCTATAAGATGCATTAATTATTCTGTCTGTAGGCATAACTGATCACAGCAATTTATGTACTGTAAGAGATTTTTGACAGAAACACCTTAGAACGTTAGAACGTAAGGTCCAACACCAAATTAATTTTAGTTCATTGTTTTTCCAGTTTTATAATTATACAGTGTTACGATTACTTTCATTTTAGAAACAAAACAACAAGACTGCACCAAAAGAAGACAACAATATGGCAAATAAGAATAAAAAAGTGAACTTTTTCGCCAAACATTCAAACTTTAATCTGAATGTGAGGCTGGAGACTGGAGAAGTGTTTCCTCTGAAGAACATCACACCAGACATGAAGATCAGTGAGCTGAAGAGTTATATTGAGTTTGCTGCAGGAATCCCGTATCACATGCAAAGGCTGAATTATCTGGATGAAGGTAAAGTCCCTGTACTTTTTTTTTTTTTGTTTTTTTTTTTTTTGTCCTTGACGTCCTCTTTCCCCTCCCTAGAAAAAACTGGATGGATGATCTAGAAAATGACTTCTGTCTTTAAAATTGTGTCTGTTATTTATTCAACCACTAAATTTTTAAGTCATTTTTATGCAGTTTTTAACAGTCGATTTTCCTTAAAATCATTGTCCTGTCCCCCAAGAAAATAATATATTTTTTAAATATTCTTGACTCCATTCATCTACTGAAATTTCAAGCCATTTTTATAAAATATTTAATTGTTTTCTTTTTTTCTTAAAAATCAACCTTGGATATTAGTATGCTACATGTACATGTGTATAATCATATTGTTGGGTGACACATAAAAACATAGAATTCTGTCTGATACACTGATCTGTTGTGACAAAGTTTTGTATGACATTGTAGGTGACCTGCAAGATGATACAGATATCAGATATAATGACATAGTTCCTGGAGGTACACTGGCTCTCAAGGTGTGGCACATGTGGAAAAACTTGGTGGAGGCAGCAGCTTCAAATGATGTTGAAGCCGTGAGTATTTCTTTGTTAAATTTAGCTTTTTTTATAAAGTTTTTTAATTTGAGGCTTTGAGAATGTTAAAAACTAGAAATAATTTACCACAATGTTTGAGTTAAAATACCTGTAAAAACCAGAAAAAATCTCATTGCTCCATAGATCTATATTATAGTCTCTTGTTTAATTATAATTGATCTTGTTGTCAGCCTCAAGAACATAAGTGTGCAGGATAAGCTCTCTGGCACTCATTGTTCTTACTAAGAATTTCATGATAAGGACCTCATAAGCTGGACATCCCCTAAATTGCACTATATACTGGCGTATTATGATATCCAAAGAAGTATTTTCAGCAAAGTGGAAGGGGGAGGTGGTGAAATGACATCCTCTACCAGTGAATAAATGTATTGTTTATTTGTATTGTATTGTATTGTATTGTATTGTATTGTATTGTATTGTATTGTATTGTATTGTATTGTATTGCATTGCATTGAATTGCATTGTATGATATGATATGATATCATATCATATTGTCCTATGTTTCTTCTGTAGGTGATGAAGATGGGGGTGAGTAACAAAATAGACTTTAAGACCCCCAACTCAGAATACATGGGCAGCAAAAACAAGGCGGTGTGGATCGCAGAGAGAGCATTTGTTGCCCTCTACATTGCCTCACACAGGGGACACTTGAAGATGGTTCAGAAACTTATTCAGGCAGGTAGGTTAAGTGTGGCACTAAAGTCGCTTTTGGACCTCATCCAAAAAGTGGAAACTATGAGAGAAAGTTAACAAGTTTGGTCATGTTTTGGTGACACTGGGGCCGATGGTATTACTCAATTAACCGACTCACACAAGTTGGATTCAAAGTAACTGCATTAACTCCCAGTGTTATGAGTAATCTAAAGGTGTTAGACTCGACTAAATGTGTTTCAAGTTCATTGTCTCATATATGTCCCTGGCATGCAAACACTGTGACATTACTGGTCTGTGTGACAGAAAAGAATTTTATCATGATCACAAGGCATTTGTGTTACTTGATATATGACATTTAAAGAATCTGATCTTAAATCTGATGAAATACTGACAGAATGCTGACAGTAGCTTGTATTATTCATATTTTAGGTGCCAATGTCAATGCTCAAACTCCAAAAGGTCGGTCAGCATTACATGTGGCAGCAGCTCAAGGACATGGGAAAATTGTTGATTTGTTACTAGAAAAAGGTAATATGAAAGTGGATGTTGTGAGCCAGATTTGAAAAGGTCTAAAAATACATTAGATAGATCATTTTGCCAGCTTTGGACCACATGAAACTGAATTAACCAGGCCCATAGCCAGCAATTTGAAAGGATGTGGGGGGGATCTTTTTCTGAAAAAATGGACCTTTTATCATGGAACTTTCCTGTACCTAGATCAATTTTTACCCAGAGCAGACTTTTTCAAGGCAAAAGGGGTGGTTCCATCCACCCCTTGAATCCTCCTAGGCTATGGGCCTGTCAGTTAATTTTTGCCCCTTAAACACTGTGTGATTATATCAAAAACTGGATTTTTATTTTTTGTAATTGAATATGTATTCTGATTTGTGCCCGTGTGCAGAGTCCAGATGTATATGTACTGGTATTTGCCAGAAAAAAGAATAAAAATGGACTTATAATGCATATATTTCTCTTATTTTTCTGTCTTCTTTCAAGGTTCCAATATCAATGCAGCAGATCAGTTTGGGGATTCTGCACTTCAGATAGCCACTAAGTTTGGACACAAAGGCTGTGAGCGCCACCTTTTTTTGTTCCGCTGGCAGGAACGCGCAAAAAAGACAAAACCCAGCTTCCAGGACATTCCTTTAATGGCGCATCAGTTCTTCGATTCCAAGTTTCCAGTCTGGTTGCACGGCAACCATGGGCAGGTTTATTTTCAAAAGATACTTCCTCCGGGCGAATTTGAAGGAACAGCTTTTCATGCTCCTCGAAACAAAGAGCGCCCCAGTTCCGCCCCAAAAGAAAGAGAAAAAGGATCCAGGGAGTCAGATAAATCAAAAGAAGAAGACACACAGGTATGTAAAATTCAGCCAAATATGGTTGATAGTAATTGAAAAATATTTATTAGTAATTTGCTCACAATGTGAGTACATATATACATGTATCTGAACCTTTGCTTTTATTTATTAATTCTTATAAAAAACAAAATGGGAGTACGGAATCACCATTTTGTTCTCAAGAATTAATTAACAGTTCTTTCAGTATGTTCTCCATAACATATACATATATCATGGTCTTCCAGGTTGATCTTGGAACAGAGACCCTGAAAAATGTGATGGAGATAGAGGCAGAGGCCAACAGACACAAAGATTACCTCAAATCTCTGGCTAATAAGAGTAAGATGACCACCTCACTGGGGTTTGATACAGTGCACATGTAATTTAAAAAGTCAAATGGCATTAGGGGAAGTGGGAGGATTCTTTATTTTATTTTATTGACACACATATTATTTTAGGCCCATAATTTAAATAATCCACCAATGCCTGTATATCAGCAGTCAAATATTTTATCATAAATTCTCAGATGTGTCAGCTATATTCAAACACCGTGTACCTAACTTTCAGAGGTAAAGATAGGAGGCCGAGGCTCTCCCAAGATGCCAGCCATTGAAGAGCGCAGCATGTCAGGTAGCGCAGCAACTTCCAGAAATCCAAAATCCGCCAAATCTGGTGCAAGTGACAGAGAGCACACAGAATTGTATGGGAGCCCCGTGGATGAGAAAGGGAATCCCCGTCCCTCTAGAGGCAGTGGGACCGGCACAAGGAGTTCCCACGGGAGCCCTTCTAAATCCGTGAGTGGGGTGCCTAAGACTCCAATGAGTGGCAAGTCCAGTGGAAGGTCTAGGAGTTATGGGTTTAGCAAAGGCTCAGAGTGAGTGAAATTCTGTAGTCATATCAGACCTACATGTAATTATTTATTATTTATCCAGTTTTGTTAAATTACAGTACAACACAAGAACTTCAGCAGTGTGCAATTTTACAATAGTGCAAAAATCACCAAATATGTCAGGGGTGGATTTAGGCCGTCTTCTGGGTCTTCCGGAAGAGGGTCAGATTTTCAAGTTTACATTGACATGAAAAGCATTTATAAATAAAAGCCTAACGTATCCAAAATACTTTCATATTGCATTCAATATTAAAAGATATTAATTTTATAACTATATTTTTTCTTGTAGCATTGATGACAAATCCAAGGCTAGTCCAAAGACTTTTGATGATTGGTTAAAAGTGAAGAAAGATCAAGAAGCAAGGCAAATAGAAGATCAAAAGTTATTAGAGGAAGAAAAACGGAAAGAAAAGGAATTGGAGTAAGTGGTATAAAATTTCACCAAACTGATTTCTCTTGATCTAGCTGATGCAAGCAAGAGCAGGTTCAGTCATAATGTTTCATATTTCATATACAAATCTTTATTTTATTTATTCCTGCCATCAAAAGAACCTTTGTACGTTACGTGTCGCCATATTTTCCATCTTTGCTGATCATGAGTCACCTTTTCAT